TTTCTCAGACCTTTGAACCAGGTACCAAGTACTACATTTACCGGCGACCGGGTCATTGGGCTAGGAACTGCCCTAACCGGAACAAGCCTCCGTGAACACCATGTGTCCATTGCAAGAAGACTGGCCACTGGGCTGGCCTCTGTCCTAAGGCCAAAAACCTGAAGGAGGGGCACCCATAGGCCAACATGCAGCTGCTAACGGAGGAGGGTTGAAGGCACCCATCCGGACGGCCCAGCAGCAAGAGGTATCTGTTACTGGTCTGGATTCTAGGGAAAGCATCAATGTGACAGCTTTCCAAATGTTCCTCACAGTGGAGGAGCCTCAGATTCCCCCATAGGAACAGTGGGAACAAGCCATAACCCCGGAAGTTTGGGACACAAGAGTCCCCGGCAAAGCTAAATATGCTACCCCTGTAAATATTTTCCTAAAAGACCCTACCCAGTCTCCCCATCAGCGACGGTATCCTTTGACACCGGAAACCATCAAAGGGTGACAACCCCTTATTAGTAAGCTCCTCCAACATGGACTTTTGGTCCCTGTTAACTCCCCTGTAACACCCCATATTACCTGTTATAAAGGTGGGTCTTATCGGCTGGTCCAAGACCTCAGGATAATAAATGAAGCAGTGATCCCACTGCACCCAGTTGTGCCAAACCCCTGTATCCCTGTACTCTCCTAGGGGAAGTTGTGAATGCTTTTGCCCCCCCGCCCAACCCCCCCGCCGTGTGTTTATAGTGAACCAACGCTCATGCCTGTTAATCCTAAGAGTTTTATTTATTTCCTGTGACACTAACCTAACGTCAAGGGCACTGCCACCTGACAATCTTACCCTTGCCTCACTTAAACTGCTCACCTGTTTGTCCGCTTGTTTGTTTTTCCAGAAGTTCTCAGGTTACCAAGTCCTCTGAACCAAGGGTGCCAGCTCCAGGACCATCTCCTGGACCACCTCAACTTTATCCATCCTGGCTCTTGAATGGACAGCCCCCTTCCAACAGAGTAGGAAGGGTGTGGACCCAAAGCCCCACTCCGCCTCTTTTGTCAGCAGGAAGTAGCTAGAGACGTCGTTGCCCAGTACCCCAAAGATTTGAGTCCATATCTCTTCAGGGGGGAAATGTTAGGTAGCTAGCATAGGGACTGGGGCGTCCATTATGCATGCTCAGAGGTTCCAGCTTCTGGCCAGGAAGGGGCGGTACACCTAGGTGGGCGTTACACCTGGATTGGCCCATCTAAGCCAGGTGAATTTGATTCAGCCAATGGGGTCGACCAGTATTGTCGTCTACACCTCCCAATGGGAACCCTGAAAAGACAGAGGTTTTGCTCCGGAGCGGCCAGACCGCAGTCCCGCAACTGTGCCTTGTGTTGCATGTACTGTACAACCTGAAACTGCTACTATTCTCTATACACTCACTTGGCTCAGGAACCAGGCTTGGCCGTGGATTCTTTCTCGCGTGGAGCCAAGGACGGAGGTGGATCTCTCCCAGAGAGATCTAACATTACGTGGAGGGCTACAGTTAGCCTTTCTCAAGCCACTGCATTTTCAGTCACCTCATATGCATGTGAAAGACCAAAGAAGAATGAGGCAATTGAATTCAGTTGTTGGTGAAGAATACTGAATATTAAGTGGGCCGCCCGAAGAGTGAACAATTCTTTCTTGGAGGAAGTACAATCAGGTTGCACCTTAAACGTGAAGACGGTGACTTTGTCTCATGCACTGTGGACATGCTAGCAGAAGGGCCCAGGCCCTGGAGAAAGACATCATGTTTGGTCAAGGACAGCGTCATCAAGGAAGAGGAAGGCCCTGGGGGCGAGGGAGTGACACAGTGGCCACCACACAGGATTCAAACACAGGGAAGGCTGTGAGGCTGCGGCATGGAACTGGGCGAGTTTCCTTCTACCTCTTGTAGATGTCAGAACAGCCCGTGGGCACCTGACACCGCAGGCTGCTTTCCTAGGATCCCTGATGGCACATGGCCAAGCACTTGTAAGATTAGCGGTTCGAGCCCAACAGCTGCTCCCAGGGGGAAAGATGTGTCCGATCTTTGAAGACTCTATGGGACAGTTCAGCTCTGCCCGTCAGGGTTGCTATGACTTGGAACAGACTTTTCTTCTTCTTTTTCTTAATTGTTTGGTTTAAAAATGACTTTCAGGGAACAGTGTTGGTTCCCTGAAAGACAACCTCTGGACAATGGCTTTCGGTGGGTCATTTTAATGCCAACGGTCCCAGAAACTGGATTTCACGAGCATTCGGAATCCTGTTCCTTATACTCCATGTTCCAAGATTTCGTGATCTCGCTGAATAGATGTGGGCGTAACCATTCCCATCCTGGCTCCTATCATTAGACTGGGAGCTCTGGCAGACGGGGGATGGAATACCTTGTCTGGTCTTTTGGGACTGTGTGCAGTAAGGTGCCTGGCTAGCTGATTAACAAACCAGATAGTCTCAAACAGCTAAACGAGCTCTGCATAAGCATTGCTGATAAGTTAGGACAGTAAGTTGATGAAGAAGTGGTGCTTGGGAAAGGAGGCGGGGCAACCCCTCTGCAGGAGCACTGAACCAAGGAAGGGCAATAGAGCCCCTGGACAGAGACCTGGCTGAGGGCCAATGAGGGGTCCCAACTATGATGAGGAAAAGGCAGGATGAACACCCAGTCCTTGAGGAGGATGAAGGGACTCTCAAGAGGAGGAGTGGGGTGAGGAGATCTGGTAGCTGGGTCCCGGATGCACTTGTCATTCCTTCTCGAAATTCAGGAAGCCCCACCCTCAATGTGATATATATATATATATAAGAAAAAGTGTAAATAAATAAATAATTTAAAAAAAAGAAAAATTGTATCTGGACCATCTAGATTCTACGATGAACATTTTGCTGTGTTTGCTTGATTGTATGCCTTATCATCAACTCATCTCAGTTTGGGATGCCTTTCAAAATTGCAGGCATCAGTGCATTTCACCTCTAACCTTGCAGCATGCTTATTATTGACTGGGGTTTAGCATTTGTTTCCCCTTTTTTGTGGCTTCTGGGGGAGGTAAAATTTGCATACGGTTGAAGCGTACAAATCTGAAGTTCATTCTAATTTTTTAAAAAATCATTTTACTGGGGGCTTGTACAACTCTTATCACCATCCATCCATCCATTGCGTCAAGCACATTTGTTGCCATCATCATTCTCAAAACATTTGCTTTCTACTTGAACCCTTGATATCAGCTCGTTTTTCCTCTCCCTCACGACTCCTTGATAATTTAGAAATTATTATTTTGTAACGTCTTACACTGTCCGACGTTCTCCCTTCATCCACTTTTCTGTTGTCTGTCCCTCAAAGGAGGAGGTTATATGTAGATCCTTGTAATCGGTTCCCCCTCTCTACCCCATCTCCCCTCTACCCTCCCAGTATCGCCACTCTCACCACTTATCCTAAGGGGATCATCGCCCTGGATTCCCTGTGTTTCCAGTTCCTATCTGTACCAGTGCACATCCTCTGGTCTAGCCAGATTTGTAAGGTAGAACTGGGATCATGATAGTGGGGGGAGGAAGCGTTGAAGAACTAGAGGAAAGTTGGATGACTCAGCGGTGCTACACTAACCTGCCTTGCGTCCAAGGGTGGAATAGTCTGCCTGGGCTCAAATGTTGGGTCTGTCAATTACTTTTTAATTAATTAATTAATTTTATGTATTTTTTTCTTCTCCTGTCAATTACTTTGTAATCTTCCATAAATTCCTTTGCTTCTCTGTTCCCTAGTTTCCTGTCAGGAATAAGAGAATGCTGAGTGTGTAGATCTGTGTCAGGCACATGTTAAATGCTGTTCATATAATACTAATAGTGATCGTTAGTATTTAAAGTGTTCTTGGATGCACAGAGATACCATCAAGGAGATATGAGCTGGGACCACCTCCACCTTCCACTGACCTAGCCTTTTCTCCATTCAGCTTCTACTATCTACTCACTGCCGTCAAGCCAATTCCCACTCACAGGCACCCTGGAACTGCCCCTGTGCCTTTCCGACACTGTAATGCTTTAAGGGAGTAGACAGCCCCTCTCTCTCCGGAGCAGTGGCTGATAGTTTCGAACTGCTGACGAGGATTGCAGCCCAAGGTGTAGCCACGCTACCACCAGAGTTCTTAACTTCTACTCTACTGCCTACCTCCTTGCTGCTTTGTTTTGCTCCACCATCCATTGATTCATTCATCTTTTTGTTCACCCATAGACATTGAATAAGTACTTACAAATGGATCAGGCTCCCCCTGGACTCAGAAGCTCTCTGAGGGTAGGGGGGTGTCTCCTTTCCTTGTCTGCATTCTGTGGACAAGGGAAGCAGCGCTCCATTGCTATCCGCCCCCCCCTCCAGTGAATCAGTAGGCAGCAGTGAAGCTGAGACCCTCCGCAGTGGCCATGGCTGTGGATAGCTTCACTCTGCCTTTCCCACCATCAAGGAGTAGGAAGGAGCAAGGCCGGAGAAGGGAAAGGACTTCAGAAGGCTTGTGGAGCAATGGAACTAAGAGCTTCAAATTGTTTGAAGCTCCTCGGATGTTCTTCTTGGAGACCCGGACGCCCATCCTCAAGACCCCAGTTCTTATCGCCCTTGACCTCAGGGGCGTGGGGGTAGTCCTCTCGCTAACACGTGCCGAGATGGTGAAGAAGCATGCCGATGGCACTGGGAATCTGGAATCCTGTGTTCTCACTGCAGTCTTGCTACTTGACCTTCCGCAAGCTGCCCTCCTTCCCCGGGCTTTGGTTGCCTTCCCCGCTGAACCAGAAGATTTTAAAGGTCCCCTCCAGTTTGACCTCTGTCTCCCACCCACCCACCCCCAACCCAACTCCTTCCCCAATTCAGAGAACCCAGGCATCCAGCTGCCCCACCCCAGCTCTGGGTAAACAGGAAGCTGGGTGAGGGGAGCAGGGCTGTGTGGAAAGTCCCAGCCAGGTGTACGGGTCTGTGGGGAGGGGGGTGGCGCCACCCTGGGGTATGAAAGCCCCTTGCCCTGGCACTGGGTCAGAATCTCCCATGGAGGCACTGGGGCTGGAGGGTCAGGGTGGAAGGTCCCAGGGGAGGGGCTGCCTCCTGCTGGCTGTGGCTGGGGCGATTGTCTTGGGGTCTGTGGTGCTGTCTGTACCCATCACTGTCCTGACTGTGCTGGCCTTGGTACCCCAGGAGCGGGGAGGACTGGTGAGTGGTGGCAACCGGAAGGCTGTATGTATCCTACCAAGTTCACCCACTCCCAGGTTTTGCTTTCTGGCCTCCTGCTTGGTCTTGCTCAGCTCGCTCTTCCGGTGCTTGGTGTGAAAATGAAATATCACGCCAATCTCTTTGCTGGCTTTCCTTCCATGCTTTGGTGATGCTGTTGGGTCCTGACGTCTCCAAGTTCCTTCCTGGCTATCTGTCTGTCTTCCCTTTTCTTTCCCCCAAGACACAACTGGGTCCAAGGACATGTCTTGCTTGCCCCCCTCCCCTCAGGGACCCGTGTTTTGGGGTGGGACTGGACGTGTATTTTGAGGTGGACCCGGTGGGAGACGTCCCAGGCTCTGTGCTGGAGTCTGGGGACAGGGTGGGATTGGCATCAGCTGAGTTGTAACTTTGAGCACTGTCACCCACCCCACCCAGGTCACAGAGACTGCTGCTCGGGGGGCACAGACCCAGCAACAACTGGGTAAGAACAGACCACCTCCCGCGCCCCTCCGTCCCTCAGGGACCCCCAGCTCTGGTTCTTGTCGCTGTCCCCTCTTCCTCAAGGCATTCCGCTGCCCCATGCTGGACCCTGGCGCCCTGTCCTCTCGGGCGGACCGTGTGCAGGGGTGCCTTCTCGCCAACCCATGAACTTTCCACCCCATGTAGAGTTCCAGAAGCTGCCAGGGGAGAAGTCGGAAACAGATGTGGTCAGCTTCCCGCTGCCGGCTGCCCACCTCATAGGTGAGTCGGTGGGAGACCTGGGTACCCGTGCACAGCGTCCCAGCTTCAGAATCAGCCACCGTGCAGCGGGCTCGGCCCACTCTCCAGGGCTGCCAGGTCAGCCGGCCTGGGGTCAAGACCCCCCCCTTCGTGGGCCTCCCCCTCCGCCCCCGCTCCGCCCTCGCCCCC